TGGTTTTACGTGCCCATTCTGAGCTACAGTATGTCTCTTTGCCATGAGACGTATCTCATGGCATCTTGTTCCCAGAGACATTTTTTATTACCAATTGCAATCAGGGACAATCTCTGGGTTACATGCATTAGGTAGGTTATTTCCATCCAGCATGTAACAGATGTGTATAGACAAGGCAATGAATCATGAGTGTATATTGATGCCCTTGCTCAGGAGCAGGACATTAGTACACTGAACCATCTTGGGGCGTGAACTGGCAACCTTTGAACAGTATGGGAGCCTTCTTTTTTTGGCACAGAGGACAATGGAAGTTTATTTTCCTGTTATATCTGCAATGGTACACTCTGCCTGCATCAGGTTGCATTTTTCTGTAAGGTCTGCTTAGAGGAAGTGGCTTCATGAACTGCTTTTGACTGTCAGTGCATTGACAGAGAAAAACAGGAAGACAACAACCACAAATTCTCTGACGAAGGTCTTCTTGTTTGTGGCATGCAGTGTCCACACATGTGAACAAATATTCTTCAGACTAACTTTGTTGTGTTCACACTGGTTGCTCCCTTTGACCTCACTCTGTTGTCACTCTGGGTTTTAAAGTTACTCTGAAGTCAAAGTTAAAAACTGTTGAAACTTTGATGTACTCGTTGTCTTGTACCTTTAGCATGGTCTGTATTTATTGTAACCTTTGTGCGGTTGCGTTGACACTTACAATATAGTAATGTCTCACATATCATTATTATTGTTTCTTGCCTTTTCTTGCATTCCTGTCATTTGAAAACCATTCATGCTTCAAATTATGCGTACAATCTTTTGTAGCTTCCTGCATTTGTATACAATTAGCATAAAACTGCATATTCAACCAGCTAGGAGGCCTCTTCCTTATTTTCTCTTTAAAGGTCCCATACTATATGAAGTGAGATTTCAATGTCTTTTTTGATTATAAAGCAGGTCTAGGTTTTATATTATTACTGTGAAAGTATCAAAGCGCTCAGTCCACAGAGAAATGCACACAGCCTGTATTCAGAAACTGAGCCTTAAAACTAGCTGTCAGGACTTCTGGAACTTTGTGATGTCACAACAAAGCAGTCATCGCTCTCAGCCACGACCCAGGCCCTGCCCACCTGGACCCACAATCTGACCTTGCAGGATTTGGTTTCTCTGAGTGTTTACCTGAAATCTGCTATATTTTTATTTGATCACTCAAAACAGTCAGCCAATCAGATTGGCTCACCGACCTGTTGTTACTAGAGCTCCAGAGAGAAGCCTGAGAGAGGAGATGTAAAAGTACACTGAGATGGTTTTTGGTTTTTATAACCACAAATATATCTTGTGGATCAACACTTGAAATACAACACTGGAGAAGCGTAAAATGAGACCTTTAATACTAACAAGATGATTGCTATGTAAACCAAGTGTTGAATGACTCCATTCATGTTTCAACTGCTCAGGACTGAACACTGATGAACTGTATTAAGCTCATTATGATTACATTTACAGTTATTCACTCATGAGTTACATAATGCATTAAAATCCATGGCAGCCCATTCAGTCCCAAAGTAATCACAACTAGACATCTGTAAACAATGTAAACTATAACTAGTTCAATCTCTTCTTGTGAATATATTTTTCATTATATTTTTATAATGTTTGCTACTTTAATCATTTAATGCTCTTGTTTCTTATTTTTTCTATTTTCCAGCACAAACAGCATGTGATTATGTCACATGCATTATTTGACAGTGCTAAAGATATGTTTATGTAGCGACAGGAAGAATTAGATATGACCTTTTCACTGGAAAAAATAATAAGTGTTGAGATTAGGCACTGGAAAGGATTGTTCGGCCTTTTTATTTCTTAAATGAGTGAGTCAGGGCACAGGGTAAATGTTCACACCTTCCTCTGCTTTCCTCTGTGTTCTGGCAAAGTCAGATTACATCTGCTTTAAGTTTTCTTACATGTTGGTTCTCTGGTGTAAAAAAGTACATTTTCCATTGGCTTGTTTCATTCTAAATAGACAGTTGTTATTTTCCAGAATGTGTGGTGTCTTCATTAGGATTACTATTTCTCAAAGTTACTTTTTTTTAAAGAACGCAACAGTGCCATCCATAGCCGTGTAATAGAGACGTCATCTTTCACCGTAACTCTACAAACATGGTGTCCAGGAGAGTGCCAGAAGCATGTGTTCAAATTTTCATCCGTGCACACACATATGACCATGTACACTGCATTGTGATATTTTAGTACCATATTGTTATGCTCCTATTATTTATATGGTTGGAATGAAAAAACAATTTTCTGTCATTTTTGTCATTTGTCATTAGTCATTTTACTGAAGAAAGTGAGAAATCAGAGTAGGGATTTGTGGCACAACTCAGAGCACAAAAGCCGTTATTTGGGTCATTCAAGAGCTGAAATTTGTTGCTTTTACAGCAAAGTTCTTATTACTACAAGTGTTGCTGGAACTCTGTCCTTTTCAGAAAAGGTTGAAAATCCAGCTTTTGCTGCCACCTAGTGACTGAAGTTTTCACCTCACCCTTTCAAAAATTTTAAAATGCAGGTACGCAGTGGTTCCATTTGTAGAAAATACCATGAAATATAAAAATATTTACGACTGAAATGCATTTGCACTTGCACAACCCCTGTATATAATTATTCTTACATCAACTAATTACACAAGTCAAATCCTTGGTAATCAACAGCCACAAATATCACCATAACTAACAATACCATAATTATAGTAGTGCTGTCTGTTTCACCACAGTCATGACAGCATGTATAATATCCACATTCATGTCATCATACAGTCTTAATATTACGACTGTATGTATGTATGTATGTATGTATGTATGTATGTATATGTATTGTATGTACATTGCTTACAGTATTATCACTTGATTTTCATGATCTGGAACATGGCTGACAATAACACAGAAATGTGATGCCACTGGGTTAATCACCCAGCTTCATAAATTACGCTCCTAAATGCATCAAATCCATAGATACACATTATCGAATGTGCACAATGCACGCTGTGTGATACTGAGTTCAGTTCCCAGATGTTACCAGCAGAGGGCACAGGACACCCACTAGTTTATTTGTAGCATCAGGAAACAGTGGCTTTTCAGTGAAACTGAAAGACCCACACTGTGACCCATCTCTGTTCAGTTTCTTACATAACTTCTCATGGTGAAATCTGCAGTCACATCAGGCTGTTTGATAGGTTCATGCAGCTCTTCAAGACATTTAAAAGGTTTTGTGATTCCTTTTTTTTGTGTGAATGCACCACCATGATCAATAATGTGAAAACTTTTTTTTTTAAAAACAGATAATAAAAAATATACTAAACTATATAGAGGTGATAAGCCTTCAGTAGACGCTTGAGAGTCAAGGTTAACCCGTCAGAGGAAATGCAAAAGGTTACACTGCCCCACCTTACTTCCTAGAAGTAGCTGCACTAGAAGTTGCTTCTAGTTTTTGCCAATAAGCCCGCCCTCCACATGAAGAACTTTAAAGGAATATAACAAGTATTTTACCATTTTTAGACTACATGAATAGTGTAATAAATGTCCTCTGACATGATGGTCGCCACACCCATCGCTAAGTCTTTGTGTTGTGGCTTTCTTTTGTTGAGGTCGAGGTTACCAGGCAACTCAGTTGAAGGCCACTTATAATGTGTGTCAACTGGTCTGAGCTGATTTCATTGAAAATCTATTAGTTAATATGCTGCACTTGAAGGCCTTCAGATGGGTCTTGTTTATCTTGAGGTATTGAAGAGGTTTGCTGTGTCAGACTTCAGCACAGAAAAGTCCCAGAAGAGGGGAATCGGAGGTTAATGAGGCTAATTTTCACTCAGATGCCTCCTAAAGTTAATCCGGCCATATTTGAAATGTAGCTGATAAGCTATTTAATTTACAAAATACTGTTTTTACAAATCAAGTCACAAATTACTGAAACCTTCCTGTTTATACGTTGTCAAATATTATATATTTTTCCATAAGCAACTGGTAAACAGGTTGTGAAATTATATACATATGATCATACAATAAAGCACATTTTATAAACTGTATAAAATGGTGTGAACAACTTGACCCATTAGAGCTTGTCCTTCCAATCAACCAATCAGACTGTTACCATTTATAGACCTCACTGGTGACAAATGCCCACAATAAACATTTAAGTACAGGGATACCAAATTTATCACGACACTGGAAGTGCTTGCTTTGTAGCTTTGCACCTATGATGACTCTGCAGCCCTACATAGGAAACTACAGTAAACTGTATTAAATGATTGTCATTCCAAAATGAGCTTTGCTTTCTCAGTATCTGTTTGGTCTCTTATATTGTATCATTACCAGTACAATCCTACATATTTAATTTGATCAGATTTATTCATGCAGAAATACACCACACACACAAAAAAAAAATTATGCCAAAAGTATGAGTTGGGATAATGCGGTGTATCTCTTCAGCCTACTCCTCTTCTAAAACAAAATGAATAAATAAAATAAAATGAACAAGATTATATCACTCTTCTGATCAAGCCTAGCTTATAATTTGACATAATCCAAAATCAGATTTGCAGGATAATTCTTGCTTGTATTTCAGAAACATAAGGATCAAATTTGTTTTAGCTTATTCTTGTGAATTTCATACATGTAATATTCATCTTAGCCTCTAGCCAGTCCTATATTCTTGGTCACTCAAACCAAGTTGTAACTTTATGAATCAAAATGTTGACTATATTTGAACCATTTTTTCCAGACAATTTTAATTCAAGACATTTAAAACATGAAAAAAAAGCTAAAACATTACTTTGATCAGCAGTACATCAATTTCTCAGAAAGGACACATGCAATAGGCCTTAAACTGAGGGAGGAGCTATTTAAAAAAAAAATGAAAAAAGAAAAATGACTGAATGCATTTGACACCCATTGCATCACTATTTCCTGTAATTTCTAAAGCCTCTGTCTGAAAACACATGTATCAAGAAGAGAACACATTTTTCTAACACAGACGATGTGCGTGTGGGTGTATTTTTGGCCCTAATGACACACCATACCCTAATCAGCAGGCAGATTATCCGTAGCTAGCCATTTGTACTCTCCCGCCACGTGTGAACGACGAATACATGTAGCTAGTAGTCTGTCTACACCGTTTTGGACCATTTTTTAACATCTCAAGTGTTTGGTTTTACGGTGGGAACATTATGAAAACACAGTGACGACCAACATTTTCTGCAAGGTGAGTCTCTGTCACATTCCTGCATCACGTTAGCTAGCGCTGATGGTCACAGATGGTGATGTTTCAAACGGTTAGCGTTGTGTTTTACAATGAAATGTTGTTTTCGTCGTCCTTTTAAAAAAAAAAAACCAGAAAGAACAGGGGTGTTTTCTTCACCGTCGACAGGCTGATGAAACAAGAATGTGACTCAGGTTTCCTCCTGTCTCAAATAACGTTTGACTGCTAAACTGGACACAGTGTAAACTACTGTTCTCTAAAGACTTAATTATTAATTATACCTTAATACTTGTAATAATAATAATAATAATACTTATACTTAATCGTAATGATATTTAAATCTATACCATAGTAAATGCGTCATTATGATCGAGTGTCGTCTGCTATTATTTGCTTATCCGCTCCTTCTTCACTGTAAGAGCCAGATTGAATGATTGAATTGGTGCTTAGTAAAGACCACATTTTACAGAATCCCCTTTTATATATGACGGGGCCATTCATATTTTTGTTAAGTTATATATTTCAGTAATGACGTTGAACCGCAACTGTCGAATTAAATAACTTTATTCAACTCTGTGTCTATTCTACTCTATGTCTATTTACCTGCTATTGATGTAGCCACATGTCCCACATGGTTGTTGTGATTCAGTCTGGATTACTGTAGGAAGTGATAATCTCCTGTGACTCAGAGAATCAGGAGCATCCCAGTATATGACTGGTGTCTTTTTCAATGAGACTGAGTTAAGTGCTATGACTCAAAACGGCAGCAGCAGGGAGTGGACCAACAAACCCAGCAGTTCCCAAATTGAAGTCAAAAAGTTTTAATGGGTTTACTTCCACTCTGCAACCACTTCTGCTCATTGTTTTTAATTGCATCTCAATATGTGAGGTACAGTCTGATGTATTACATCAGCAAATTTCTGTCAGTGAAAGAAATAACTGTGTGTGTGTGTGTGTGTGTGTGTGTGTGTTATTTAATTACTACAAGTGTGCTTCTGGGAAAATATATGGCAAGATGTCTGAGGATGAAGACACAAATAGTGAAAAGAGACACAAACAAATACTGTTGATGTTTCTGGGATCAGAGCAAGTCATGTGTAGTCCTGTGTTTTAGCAGCTGTTTATCCTCCACACTTTATCATCTCCCATCTAAATGGCTCTCTTGGATCCCTAAAGCTAAACAGCCAGTGTCTGCACATTGTTGTTTTTCTCACACCTACTGAATATGCTGACAAAACCCTCATTTGATGAATCCTCACAGTTATGTTTCTGTGTATAAAGAACAGTGAACTGGAATGGCATCTGGAGAGCGAGTTGTTATGTTGGTAACACCCCACCTCCGGTAGACCATAAACATTTTTCTCATGTTTGTCTCAGTGATGTCGCATACAGCAATTAGGCCGCTCCTCTTGTCTGCACGTTTAGTGGCTGGAAGAGGGGGGGGGGGAAACGTAGGAAATAAAGAAGAATCAAGTCCTGTCCGGCCCCCCCCCACTACCAAATGTGGTTTACCTGTTTTGTCCCTTCACTCGATATTTGAGCTTCGCTGGGTTCACTAGAGGATCAGCTGAAGGGGGAACGTTTCTTTGTGCTTTGCACTCAGTTTAACATATGAATGTACAAGCAGGATTTGTGACATCACAACCAGTTTAGGAACCAGTTGTGGTCCAGTGTGTATGATGTGGAAACTTGAAGCCTCCAGGTCAGATACGCTGAGAATGGACTTCACTGAAGTAGAAAATATCTTGTATCCAGCAGTTAAACATGCATGTTCGGATCAAATTTGTTGATCTTCTCTGTGGAAAATTATTCCTATTATTGTCTCAAAACTTTCTTTCTTTCTTTTCCTTCAGGTTTTTTAGATTTATCCTTCCATCTTGTTGGGTATTTTATCATTGTGCCAACAGAACTCACTCTGCCCTAATAAAATGGGTCCACACTGTGTTCACAAGGCAACAATCATTGCCTCCTATTACAGAGACTCTTTAATGGGAGACGTGATAAAGAATTGAACTTGAGCTACTAGCATGATGGATGAGGAGTCGGTACTTTGGCAGCGGTTCAGCTATGCACAGTATTTCTCAAAGCAAACTTATAACATCTGCAAACCACTACATAATATAACAAATCTGTTCAACCACTTTAAGAAGCAGCATCAGTATTTCGGCTGTAATATCCAGACTTGAGTCATAGGCTGGTTTAAGTCTGGATTTTCTCAACAGTACATTTCAAAACTGAGAATAAAGATGATAATTCAGAGGATGGATCATGATTGTGTGTTAAAAAGATTGTGATATGTTTTTTTTTTTTTTTTTTTTTTTTTACCTTGTTCACAATTTGTTTCTATCAGACACCTAAGCTTGTAACTATGTCTTACAGAGAACAAAATATTACCTCTTTACACGTCAACAAATTGTTTTCGTCTGATGTCTGCAATCTTTTGAATCACGTGTTCCTATGACTGGGCTGTTTGACAGCCAACCAACATGTGTCTACCGATTATGAAATAACTCTGTGGCAGAAGATGTGTACACAGCTGATAATTTATTAATCTGGGCGGTTGGCCATAAAGGACCAGATTGATTTGAAGAACTGCTCACCTGTAAGTACAATTACAAAAGAGAGTGAAATGTGGTTGAACAGTGTTTTGTATGATTTGAGTCATGAACATACCTCAGTATCTTATATCAGGCTTTTAGTGAGATTAGACAAGCTGACATTCCTGTTCACACAAGTGACCTGTAAAGAACTTTTGCTTCTGTTAGGTGTGTTTTCAGGCCTGACCTTAAACAACCTGAGGATGTGTTTGCTGTGCTGACTTCAGTGTGTCCTTTGTTAAAAACACACAGGAAAACAGAACGCCAGCCAGTTGTTTGACTTGGCTTCTATTTGAGATCAGTGAGGATATATGCAAACTCTTTCTGTCCACAACACAGACTGTATAGGGGACAGTGTGATATTAATTCTTTGGGTTTATCTCATGCTGTCTGCCTCTCGTTTGATTCAGAAGAACAAAGCTACACTATGGGAGCTGAAGCAGCGCGCAGTCTGTTTATAACTGAATGTGTCTAGTCTGCTCCTCTAACAAGTCAAAACAAGCTGAGCAGCCGTACTGAACCGTACTCTGCCAGCGTTAATGCTGTCAATACCTTTTCAGTAATGTTGTTGACTTTGCCGGCTGGGTTTTATTTCTAGAGAATACACTGCCGTGTTTGTGTGTACAGCGGGAGTGGACTCTCAGATTCTTGACTTATGCACACATTAAAAAGGGACAGAGTTTGTTCCTGGCCTCGGGGTGCTGGTTCCACCGCCAACACGTCAGCGGAAAATCATTGAAGCTGCACTTAGTGTGATCCTTTAATTAGACATATATTCCCAGAAGCGTTTATGCATTAAACTGCAAGTTGTTCGATAATTAAGTTCATCCTAATAGTCACAGGTTCACTCAACATACCAAAAGTCAAAGTGAAAAGCCTTAATTATCCTGCATCCAGACACACCACTGTTCTCAACAGCTTCTGTGGAGGCGGTTTTGTAGGGACAGCCCCTCACAGCCTCCTGCCAGAATGTAAAAGGATTCCTCCATCTCTAAGAAGCGAAACTTTGGCAGAAACCAAACGACACGCTCAGTAATCTTTGTGGAGGCGTGTCTGACCGTTCCTCTCTCCTGTTGCCCTTGCAGCTTCACCAGAACCTCCTACATCAGGATGAAGGGACGAGCGGACGCTCCTCAAGACCAGTGAGTTCAAATTAGATTAAAAACGAGAACCTCTCACGGAGTTTTTGCTCTCAGTTTCTGTGTGGTTTGAAAAAATTTTTTTGCTGATTTTAACTTAAAGGCTTTTTCATTTCCCTAAAAATACTGATACTTGCTGGCTGTGCTTTAAAAATGATACTGTGGTAAGGCACTTGTCATTTGGTTGCTGTAAATCCTTCTTCAAATAACATGCTTTACTTCCCATCCACAGGGGCTACCTGGTTGGAATTTGTTTCTTCATTCTGGGCCTGGGAACGCTGCTACCATGGAACTTCTTCATGACTGCGTCATTGGTAAATACGTAGCAATTATTAATCCTAGTTCTGACACATTAAAACATCTGATGTATAGAGTCATAATCCACATAAAAGCCTTTCTCTAAAGCAGTGGTTCTCAAACATTTTCACACCGTCACCCCTAAACTGACACAAATTAGACCATGGACCCCCATCTGATAAGATCTTTGCTTTTAGATTGTCAAGGACCCCTGGGGGTCCCTGCACCCCATTTTCAAATTAAAATATGTAACTTTTCCACATTAATCCAAATCCAAATGTTTCAATCAATTTTCAAACCAGAGAAATCTGTGATTTTAAACATGGTAACAGTACGTGTCATTGGTCGCCTCTCAATGACATCATATCCTCTACGATCATGTGTCAGTGTGTTTTTCTGACAGAAGCTCAACATTGACTTTTATCTAGTTTTAAGCCACATACACTTTTGACACCTTGGTGGTTTTCACTCTATATTTGAACCAGATGAAGGATTTTAGTCGTCGGACGTCTGGATCTGAAGTTATCAGAGAAACAAGCTGAGGAAATGTTAGACAGCTCAGCTCCCAGCTGCTGGAGACGTCCTGTCCTGTGTCACTGAAGAGCGTCGCTGAATCTCTGAATTTAATCCTCTGGTGTGTTTGTTATGGAGAGGAGGACACCTCTGTGGATCATTCAGCTGCTGGTAAAAACCTGCTGAACGTCTGCTTCATAAGTTATCAGAGAAACAATCAGAACAAAGGTTAGCATCAATCTCAGCTCCAGCTCTTCCCTGAGTCTCTGTCCTCCGTACAGCGTCGCTCAAACACTGACTTTACATGTCAAACTGCTTCATTCAGTGTTTTTAATGGTTCTGGGTCTGTTTGATTTCCTGAACCACTGACTCTGAAGGAATCCAAACCGGGAGGAGCATACAGTAAACTCCCATGATCCCATGGTCCTTTCATGGCGTCACCCAACGCTGTCTTTTGTTAGTGTTTTGATTGAGAGACACCTAGAGGCAGAAGTTACAGACTGTGTGTTTAAGAACCACTGCTTTAAGTGAAGGCGAGGGAATTGTTGATCTGGGGCTTTACTACTTAAACCTCTTAAAGAATCACATGAAGGATGGTTGACAGTGGTCTTAAAGCTGTTTTTATATATTTCAAGAAAATGTCTGGAAAAAACAACAGTATGTAACGTAAGTGTACATGACGGATCAGATTAGTCAAAATGGTGTTATGTAGCCCAGTGACTAGTTGAGGTCTTTCATGTTGTGCAGTCTGGGTGTATGATGTTGTCATGACCTGCAGCGACCCATAAATCCACACAGTCTATCATATGACTGAAGGTAACCATGTGTGGGTGACTGCACATGTGCTCATGTGTCGGAGTGAAGCCTCTTTTCGCGTAGATGTTACCTGCATCTGTGGCGTCTCGCCAGCACTTTGGTTCCTGCTGAAAGCTTTGACACTCGACAGTCAGGGATATTTTCAGCTTGCTCACTGATAGGACGTGGAGCTGTGCGAGCGTGACCAGCGTCTCAACAAATGACAGCAGTGTTATTATTGTCATCTGTCACCGTCACTAGACTTATCTGGGTCTGTGCTCTTTACTCCTTTTGTTCTTGAGTGCACTGACCCCCCTTTAGTAGTTTACCATCTGCCTTTGTCTCCTTTGTTACATTACAAGGCTGTAGTATTGGATACTTCATTGTCATTATAACTTGTATAAAGATACAATGCCAGAGGATTGTTTCGAAGTCGGGCTGTCTTAAAACTGCGTTAATTATTTTTTTGTGTTTTGGCTACTTAGGGCCAGTGAAACAAACTGTGAATAAACTGTGATATTATTAACCTTATAAAGCTGATACGGGAGGAAGGAAATAGTTGCTTATTTACACATGAAATAGAAACAAGCAACGTTAGCATTCATCTTTGGTCGCTGAATATTCCACTGTTTCCATGAGCTAGTTGCTAACTTTGTTTGCTGTTCGGTGTGTTGATCTGAACACCTGAGATCTGCTGAAACTGTCAGCTCATTTAAATCGGGGCTTCAAATGTCACTATTTGCTGCAGCTTACCAATAAATTACATGTATCTTTTTAGTCCATGCATTTGCTTGTTGTTAATGTCTTTTATCACTATCTCATCTTTTTAAAAACGGTGGCCTAAATTTCCTACCTGATCTTATGTATTTGAATATTTTTATTTTTATTTATTCATATTAGTTTTTATTGTTTTTAAATGCTATTCTAATGTCATGTTAATGTTCTATTTTTAATTTCCACGCCTCTGTAAAGCACTTTGAATTGCCTTGCGTCTGAATGGTGCTCTATAAATAAATGTGCTTTGAGCAGATAATGCACTGGGAGTGCATCAGAAGTGCTTGGTTGAAAAAGGCTGAGGCTGGAAACTGTGTTGATAAAAAAAACAAAAAAAAACAGTGACAGCAAATCATGACAGTAAATTTGTGGGATGTAAAACCAAAACAATGAGCTAAAAGATGCTAAAATGCCCCGGTGAGCTGAGGGGACCTGCACTTTTCACATTATTTGACCCATTCTTAGTGTAAGAGAAGTGATAGGTGCAGCATTAAAATGAAGGATTGGTGTATAGTATATCCTTTTGAGTTCAAGTAAATATATTTATATGGAGATAAATTCTCTAAATAAGCTGAGCAGTATCCACTGAGTAAAAAACTGGCTGTCTAAATTGTAACGGTAACAAAAGTTGCCCTCACAACTGTAGAATTGACATTGATTGATTATATGCTTGCATGTAAAAATATACTGTCTGTATGTATGTATCTTTATGTGAAATGGAAGGATGATTTGACAGTGATAATCTAACTTCTGTGCTGTTCCCTCTGGGTGTTGTAGTATTTCCAAGGTCGCCTAAATACGACAGAATCGAGCAACGGCACAGTGGTGGTCCACAAAGAGTACTACTTCAACAACTGGATGACCCTGCTGTCCCAGCTGCCCCTGCTGCTGTTCACGCTGCTCAACTCCTTCCTCTATCAGAGGTCAGTGAAGGCGTGTTTTTCCAGGCACAGAGGGAGGTTGGTTTTCCTCCGGTGTATTTTTCTTCATTCTTGGTTAAATCACTAATGTGGGTGTTGACTCCTCTTGTTTCAGGATATCAGAGGCGATGCGTATCGCAGGTAGCCTCGTTTTTATCCTGCTGCTCTTCTTCCTCACGGCTGTGCTGGTCAAAGTGCCCATGAAGGAAGATCGCTTCTTCTCTGTTACCATGGCTACAATCTGGTTCATCAACTGTAAGTCGGTGCGAGTCTGTGTGAGCGAAAAGCCTGACAGAAAGAGACGCTGAGAGTAGCGCACAAGAGATTTAAATGTGACACTTGCTCTCCCCAGCGTTTGGTGCCGTGCTGCAGGGCAGTCTGTTCGGCCTGGTGGGTCTGCTGCCTCAGAAGTACAGCACCGTCTTCATGAGCGGCCAGGGCCTCGCCGGGACCTTTGCTGCCATCGCCATGCTGCTAGCCATAGCCAGTGAGCCACCCGCATACACACAAAAACGCCACTGGGTGCCTAATCCCCGGTTGCCTAGTAACGGAGGACATAGAAAATGGATGTGGAGCTGGTCAAATTAGCATGACGCCACCCACCACACAACACACTCTGTTCTGTTTCAGAGGACTCGGCTCATGTTGGGTGCTTTTTCTCTCTCCCAGAACTCTTCACTAACGTGCGTTTTTGTGTTTGTCACTCAGGTGATGCAGAGTCTGAGTCAGCAGCGTTGGGTTACTTCATCACACCATGTGTGGGGACGGTCATCACACTCTGTAGCTACCTGATTCTGCCTCGCCTGGTCAGTCAGCATCCAGATCTGCATGCCTACATTACCCACAATCCATTTAACTTAATTATAGTTAATTATAGTACAGCACACAGTAAAATAAATTTAAGTCAAAGATGGATTGCTGTTAAACATTGTCTTACCTGGTCTGACTGTAATCAGGCAGAGAACTGAGGTGGATTTTTAATGAAATGTGAATGAACTTAACTCGTCCAAGTTGGTCAGCAAAAAAAAGTTGCACATACTTTTCTGGAATCCCTCTAAACTCATGCTGTCTTTCTAGAAATGGCTCTGAACAGTCACAACATGAAAACAGAATATACGGGACACAGACAGTGTGACAACTGTTACATCAACATTTAAAGGGAGTGAATGTGAACGCAATAGGTGTGAGATTATTGATGACTGAAGTCCGTGATTTTCCCCATCACGTCGTGCCCATAGTAGATAAAGATATAAAATAAATATTATGGTTTGTATTAATTTGACATAAACTGCAGTTATAGCATGAAACAAGGAGCATTGACCATCATAGATAGATATAAAATACATTTTGCTTTAAAATACTCATTAATTATTCAAGCAGTCTGAACGATGACTGTGGTCTCACTGTGAAAGAAGCATCTTCATGATGAAACAGACACCACCTGTTATATTTTATTGTAATAGAGGCAAGCAGTCCATCTAAAAAAAAAAACATTAAATCATGTTTTATCTTTCTCTAAACGATCTCTGTTTTGTAAATGATACAGAGCAGATCACAACATTAAAGCATAATCCATGTTTTTAGTTTAGTTTATTCATTTTTAGTTTTTCAGCTCTAAGGCCTAATTTGTGTTGTGTGATGTTACCATGCAGGAGTTTGCGCAGTACTATCTGAACAAAAGCAGCACCTATGAGGCCGGCACCAAAGACGAGCTGCTGAGCGGTGAGTTTGGCTTCAACACACAACCTCCCACTTAACGTCATTCTGTCTCCGAGGGACGCTGTCATTTCACCACGTGACCACATTTTGTGTGAGTGCGAGCTTTTTAAGATTAGTTGAATTATCATCATCAAACGTTGGTCCGTCAGTGAGCGAACATCTGTTTGCCTTTCCACCGAGTTGACGAGTCCGTCCTTCACAGCCTGCTTGAATCAAATCAATTCAGTGGAACATTATCTCGTTAAGTCAGTTGACCCTCTGTTTATCCAATTAGAGCCCCGGCAGTGCCCAGACAAAGACTGAGCCTGTTAGACTCACACAGGCCCACGCGGTTTTCCATGAATAATAAAAAGCCACCAGAGCTGCACCTACTCACAGAAGTCACTCAGCCAGATGCCATATTTGAAATATTCCTCCAAGCACGTGTTTGAACAATAAAGTGTTTTACGCGTAAATGGAAGAGTGGATGAAGTGTGTGTATATTCAATTGCAGAGAGCAGCACAGTGGAGAACGGGAAGCTAAACGGCCATGCTAACGGCTCAGTGACCAGCAGTCCAGCTGAGGCCGAGGTGGACCCCAGGCCGGACGGGACCGCGCAGGCCTTCCTGTCACTGGAGCAGGTGGACAGGGAACAAGCCAAAGCCTCGGTCATAGAGGTCTTCAAAAAGGTAAATCCACTTGTTTGATACTCACAGTTTCTCAGTAAATCAAATGGTTCTGCGATGTCTTAAAAGTTTTTATTTTTTTTCCTTTTCTTTTTCAGATCTGGGTGATGGCGTTCTGTGTGACGTTTGTGTTCACAGTCACTCTGTCTGTCTTTCCTGCCGTCACCGCAGATGTCAAAACATCATTCCCAGGAAAATGGGGTAAGACTGTGCCTTAGTTTAACTCACTGATTAAGGTGAGCCCATTAGTCCAGCCCCTGGGTCTAACAACGTCTCTGGTGGAAACCCCGTTTGTAATCTGTCTGTTCTCTGATATGCTGTAGACTGATGGTCAAATCCTCCTGTCTCCTAATTCTCTCTTTTCATTCTTTCATCAGATCGCTTCTTTCTCTCAGTGTGCTGCTTCTTGATGTTCAACATCAACGACTGGCTCGGTCGCACCATCACCACCTTCATACGTTGGGTGAGTATCTGATAATAGATCAGAGATCGGAGAGGATAGAAATGTTGTTTGTCTGCCATTTCTCCCTCTGCTTACTCTGTTTTTAGAGTTTGTTGATTTAATATATGTAAAAAAAAAGAAAAAAAAAAGAAAAAAAAGTTAGAGGAGCAAGCATGTGACTTGAAGGTCGCCAGTTCGATCCCTGGACTGGCAGGATTGAATCTGGGTGGGAAAAGTGAAAGAATAGCACTTACTCAACCTTCATCAACAGCACTGTGGTGCCCTTGAGCAAGTCTCTTAATCCCAACTGTATTGATCGGCATTGATGTAATCTTGGATGCTCTTTTTATGGCCACATTATTGAGCTTTACTGCCTCGACGTTAGTGCCACAACTTCTCTATATTAATAAGGATTATATTGCATTACATATTTTAATATAGGACATTTTCAGTAAAACAAATGAGACACTGTTTAAGGTTAAAGTAACCAGACGGAAATGTTTGTTTTATGGCTAACCAGGCACTTTGTCACACCGTTGCAAAATTCACTTAATAAGGCTGAAAGTCTACAGCCAAGCTAGAGGCTCTGAGCATGTACTTAGTCTTAGTTAGTAAACAGGTATGATGTTTGCCATGTTCACCATCTTATTTAGAGATGATTTAATTTTCTGCTACTTCATACTGCTACTTCATTCACAACAGCTGAGAAGGAAATATTTTACTTTTCTACTCCTGTGCATTTACATGACTTCTACAGTTACTTCACATACTTAACAGACAACATCGTATAAAATGATGCATTGTTATACATTAAATTACCCAACTATATATAAAACACTTAATATTATCTCCATCTCGACCAGCTACAACATTAACATGGACTTTACATGTTAATACATCAATAATGATAATCAGATAATATCAAATCTAATAAGAAAACACCCTGAACAGATCACACACACACACACACACGCACGCACGCAGTTCAAGAAACTGACTGTCATTTAAGTGCTGTTTGTTGTGTGTTGGTTCCAGCTGTGATCAAACAGAGCGGAGCAGATTGAGTGATTTGACTGTGGAGAAGATCGCGCTAGCAGCATATAATGCTATTGACATACTGACCGACCCTGTTGTATTCAGGTCTAATGTGTTTACACAACCCATCCAAGTGAGAGCAGTCATTAGAAACGGTTACAGCAAGTCATGGAGGAAACATGACTGTGTCCCTGTGTCCTTGACTGGAAATGACCTCATACATCCCCCAGTGGAACAATGATAATAACATATTAAACAGCGGCCTGTGGGCTAATGGGATTGGGCTCTCGCTTTTGTTGCTGTTTCAGACACTGTTATCACATTTTAGCTGTTTTTATCACGCCAGATGGTTCTGTCTCTAACACACCACTGCTTTCTCAGCTCCCACGCCTACACATCAAAATCCCTCCTGTGGCCCACATCCACACTATCAGGCATTCCTGTTTGATTGCACTGCAACACAGAACTAAATTGCAACATCATCTCCTATTGTACATGTAGGAATGTTTGTTATTGTGCTGACAGTTTGTTCTACAGACGGTTTAAGTTTGAGATGTCCATCCGCTCCCTTTTTAAGTTCTTTCTACCTAATGTCGTTTTTATGCCTCCACGCTGGCAACCGTCGGAGCCGGAGGCATGTTGTTTCCGGTTGTACGTCCACCCATTCTCGTGGGCTGGATGTCTCAGTAGCGCGATGATGGAACTTCTTCAAATTTGACACAAATATTCACTTGGACTGGCTGGTCAAAGGTCATGGTCACGTGATCTCACATTCTTGTGAATGCACTATATCAGGAACACAATGTGATATCATTTTGTATCCAAATGGTCAAAGGTCAACTTCACTGTGACATCATAATGTTCTGCAAAAACATTTGTGGCCATTATTCAACACTGTAACTCAGAAAGGAAAGACTGAGACCATGTTTCCTGATACTTAGCTGGTTGGTGGAGGAAACAGCCACGAGGTGGTGATTCTTCTTTATGCTCTTCATTCATTATGAACTCATCTTTCCTGTCTCCTCTGCAGCCTTGTAAAGAGTCTCGTCTGTTCCCGGCGCTGGTCGTCTCCAGGGTGGTGTTCATTCCTCTGCTGATGCTCTGTAATGTCCAGACCCGCTCCTACCTTCCCGTCTACTTTGCTCACGATGGTGCTTTCACTGCCATCATGGCTCTCTTTTCTGTGTCCAGCGGCTACTTCGTCTGCCTCTCCATGTCCTACGCACCACAGTAAGTACAAACAACTTTGACATTAAATTTGGCACCACCTTAACTTTTACTGCAGTTCTGCAGCTTGGATTACACCTGATACACTTTCATAGACAGTTGTTTTTATAGTTGTTTATGTGTGTTGTTATTTTGGAGCATGGACTGTTTCAGCTCACTGTGTTCTGCTCCAACAGAGGTGTTAAAGTGGGCTGCTAAAAACCTTCTTTTAAATGATAAAATGGTTGTAGTTTATCTTCTTTAACTTTATCTGAAATTGAGTTAAATAATAAACATATATAATCTAATACACAACTATAAAACTGCTGACTAGGAGAATGAAATCCACAGGAAAATCAAATGAATTGAAGAAGGAGCTGTGTTTTGGTTAGAGACAAATTGACAGGGTTCTGTGAGTCAAACATCACTGGCACCATATATGGGAGATAAAAAATCTTACCGAGCAGCACCTCCTCCACCTCATACCAGTTCAGGTCAATGAGTTCTTCCAATTGTAAACAAACATGGCAACTGAAGTTTCTCTTAGTATGGACCAAGATCCATTCTGTATTACACAATAGAAACATTTGTGGACTTTTATTTTCTAAAAAGTATTCAAATGAAAGTAATAAAATGACAGCCTGCAACAATACTTAAAAAAGTGTTTGGGTTATATCCATAACCTTAAGTGCTCTTTCATAGCATTTGTTTGATGTCTCACTGTGGGAGATACTGACTCCCAGGTTTGCAAGACGACCGTCTCCAGTGGCGCTACACAGGGGCGGAGCCACATTCTGAGAAGAGTCTGCACCACAGATGGAATGTGCTGGAGTTGGTGCCGTGACATCCAACCTATCAAATCTGGCAGCTATGTGGGCCGAGGCCCAGCTGCACACACTTCTTGAATAGCCCTTAATTAAAGCAATCAAGCAAAGCTTTATTCATATAGCACATTTCATTCCAGGTGGAAGCACAATGAGCTGCACGGAGCAAGAGCTACCACAGAAGCTGCAACCACAAAGACGATGTGGATAGAAAGAAAGATAATATATTAGACATCAATGAACACAAATTAAAGCAAATGTATAAATGATACATATGAATTAAAAATAATAATAATAATTAAGATCAATGACCGATCAAGACATGGAAATTGGAAACATGGAAACTATTAAAAATTAGGGATAAAATAGTAGTAAAATAAAATAATAATCCAGACCCAGATAGGCCACCCAGCTCTGGATACCTCTCGCACAGACGTCCCAATGGAATGGCCACTACTGAGGAGGCCATCAGACCCAACAGCCTCCGGCATTGTTTGAGGGTAACGGCATTGCCTCTGTGAAACGGTGCTAGATTCGCCCGCATAGCTCCCACCTTTTCTGGGGATATGGCTCAAAATATCACTACTTTCCCAATAAGTGTAGGGGTGAAAAGTAGTGCTACTTTTCTGAAGGTATTCCTACCTGTGAGGTATTGCTAACGCTGCCTGTTACAAGGTATTGCTACCCTGCTAGCTGTGCCCTCGAATCGGTGGACAGTTTAGCTTAGCGCCCAACAGCAACGTTGTCAAAAGGGCTCCTGTGAGAAGCCAATGAGGGCTGGCGCTATGCTATTTGTGGCTCTGTAGAGGTCACGCAGGAGTTGCTCTCCATAGTGAGCCATGAAACCGAAGTACCTAAACTACACTGTATGGCTCATGATTACCATGGTATGCAGATCCAACCTTTGAGTCTTGGAGGCTCCTTGAACGCACCAGCACAGTGTTTTAAAATCACCTCTGGATCACCATGACAATATAGCATAACCAACTTGGCACCACTTTGCAATAAGACTACCCTTATGAATGATTTATGAACAGTTTATAACTAGTTATAAGCTGTTATAACATTAGATAAAAAGGTTAAGTGACCTGTTGCTTGCCAAATAGTGAGCCCACATCAATGTATGAAATGTATGTGTTATAACTTGTTTATAATGGTTTATTTATGATTTATAAGTGTTAACAACCAAATTAATAACCTAATTATAAGCTATTAAGTGGATGAATGTACACTGATGAATCAGCAAGTTTATGCAAGTCTTAGCAGGTTTATTTTTTATCTGTAGTGAGGTGAAACGACTGGCTGCCTATAAAGGTTTCTGGAAAATGATCAACATAATATAAAGAATGTGATTTGTCTGACCGCTGACCTTCTGTTCCCACCTGCTCTCTCATCAGGTTAGTGGAGCCCAAGGATGCGGAAACTGCAGGAGCCCTGATGACCTTCTTCTTGGCCCTGGGTCTGTCCATAGGAGCAGCCCTGTCCTTCCCTCTGAGAGCTCTGGTCTAGACACACACACACACACACACACACACACTCACACACACATACATACACACACACACTCACACAGAAAGACTGTATACACACCTGGAGGCAGAACTATGATAAATGGTTTCTCATCAGTCTGCCCTTCGTGGTGGGCGTTCTCTTCTTTGTCCTCATTCATCTGTCAGGTGCTGCTTGCTGCATGTGTTGCCGCATGTTTTACAGCTTGACAGTCTTGACGACCGAGGACCCTGAGTGACTGGTTAAAAAAACAAAACAAAAAAAAAAAAAAAACAGCTGATGAAGTGATATTCCTAAATGAAATAACTTCCTACTGAAGTAGGAATAAGGGAAATACTGTTTACTTTGATTAACTTCTGGTAATGTTACCTGCTGCAAGCCTGAAGAGGAAGGTTAGAAAACATTTGATTTCCTCGGTGTATAGTTATCATCATAGGTTTGACAATAAAAAGAGATTTTGTTGGTCTTTGTGTTTCTACATTTTTAGGTTTACATTCTTTACAGTTGGGTCCAAAAGTATTTGGACAGGGAATCAATTTTTGTAACTCTGCACTGTAATGGATTTAAAATGAAGCCATCAAGATGTGATTTAGACTTTCAGCTTTAATTCATTAACTGTTTAGGAATTACAGACATTTTTATACATAGTTATACAAACTTAGTTTTCAGAGGCTCAAAAGTCATCGGACTATTTACTTACAATCAATTTCATGGCCTGTGTGGCCCGTTCCGTTGTTATTTCAAGACAAATTAAGCAGATAAAAGGCCTGCAGTTGATTCCAAGTCATGAATTTGCATTTGGTATCTGTCCAAAGAGGTGCTGATACCAGTGAAGGAAGCTGAAAAAGCAAAGCTATCGGAAAAACAAGGAAATAAAGGAAAACATATATGAGCTCAGCCACAGCAAAAGGCCTGGAAGAGCACAGAAGATGAATGCAGAGGTTTTACCACAAGGTGCAAACCACTGGTAACACTGAGACGGGCCAGATTAGACTTTGCCAGAAAACAAACAAACAAAAAAAAAAGCCTGCCCAGTTCTGGAACAAGATTCTTTGGACAGATGAAAGCAAGACGAATGTGGACCAGAACGATGGGAAGAGGGGGGAGAAGCATCCGAAGTATACCATCCACATCATCTGTCAAACATGGTGGAGGCCATGTTGTGTTATGGCATGTGCATGTACGGCTGCCAGTCGAACTGGGTCACGGGTTTTTTTTTATTGATGATGTGACTGCTGCTGGAAGAAGCAGGATGAATTCTGTGTAGTGTATAAGGATTTAAACTCTGCCCAGATTCAGCCAAATGCTGCAAGACTGATACTTCACAGTACAGATGGGTACATGCTGTGAAAGCAACTCAAGAGCTTCTCAAGGCAAAGAGTCACCTGACCTCAACCCAACTGAGCATGCTTTCCACTTACTGAAGACGAAGGCAGAAGGACTGTCAAACACACAGCAGCCGAAGATGAAGCAAAAGATTGAAAAATAATCCTTATATTCATACTCACGTTAGGTTGTCCAATTACTTTTGAGGCTCTGAAAATGGAGGGATTATGTGTAAAAAGTGAAATATTTTTTTATTAACTTGAACCCCTTGAATTGAAATTGAAAGTCTTCAATCACGTCTTGATGGTTTCATTTCAAACTGCATTGAGGTGGTGCACAGAAGCAAAATGATGAACCTGACTGATTTTATTTGGTTTTCTTGTATGTAGTTTTAGGGAGTATGTAGATAAAGGGAAACATTAGAGAGTGTCATTATATTCATCTCCACATGCTGCAGTCAAGAAGACGGATGTATCATATGTGTACATGTTGCCTCAAATAATTTTAGTGACTCTACTTTTTGTTAGAATAACCAGGTATTTTTGATGTCAGGGTCTTGCTGGGATTCTTCTATATTTTTCTAGTGAACAAAAAATATGTTTTAATGCACTGTGCCAGTGGAGGGTTGATGACCTGCCTCATGTGCATGGATGGGTAGCAGAATGGGTGATAAAAAAAAAAAAATGACCTGAAAGAGATGCAAAACAACCACAAAGAACTGCAAAAAGACAGAACAAGCATGTTGCTTTATGCTCAGTACCTCTATGTTGGACGGACTTTAATGTGTCTGTCCCCAGGGGCCCATTCACTCAAAATCCCAAATCCTTTTTCCATTTCCAGTTTTTCCTTATCTCCCAGTCTCCTCTGAAACCTGCTGGATCAGTCGTCTCTCTTCAGCATTTAGCCTACTGCTGCCATCTACTGGTAAAAAGACTCAAGTCCTTCAGAGGCCCAGTTTTATGGCCTAAAAACCATAAGATATTACTGACTAACAGGAAGTAGAAATACAGTTTATAGCACTTGGTAATACTTAGTTTTATCCTTAGACATGCCAGGGTTCAGGCTGACATGATATATTAGTGAAATAACATTCCTCTGTTGACATGAGCCCAGGCTGACATGGAGGATAAAGCTTTGATACGGGAAGTAGGTTTACTTGAAATAAGTTTTTGAATCTTGATGGTGACACCAGGCAGCTGCTGTTTTCTTATTACATGTACAAGTGAAGTGATGCTGTTATTACTCTAAGCCATTAAAACAATCTAATCAGATGTAAATATTAGTTTTTGAATATTGTATAGATATGTATATTGGCCACTTAACTATGTCCAATGGTGTTGGATTTATTTAGACATTGCTACCAATGTGCCATGCTCCAGTAACAAAGAAACTGAAAGTTTTGTTGGGATTTTTTTTCTTATTGTAGTTTCCAAACATGTATAAAAGTTAACTTATTGCCCAAAACTGACGTTGCATCACATTTTATGTCAACTGAAAATTTACCTTTTGTTTTTCTTAAGTGCTCAAAGCTCAGTCTTTATTTTTCTGCTGATTATCTAATTGTGTGTGTGTGTGTGTGTGTTTTTGTATTGTATAAGCATCATGCACATGTAAATGGGGAACATTTGTCTTGTGACAGCTGCTGCTTCATAATGAACTAAGGGCTGAGTCCTAATGGACAGAGCAATATTAATTGGATTTATTATTATTATTATTAATATAATAATATAATAATAATAATAATAATAATAATAAAGAGTGACTTGATTTATACAATCTTCACATCCATTGGAAAAATGGACAAATACAGCAGGTAGTTGTCATGGCAATAGATCATGTCAACGCAGCATCAGACTTTTGAACTCAGTTCATGTTGCAGTGATTTTACATTGGGACCCTAATGTATTATTCCATGTCATACTTCAAGGTAACTAAACAGAAGCCAGTTAAATTCTTCTTAACTACTTGTGTAAAGAATGTAAATGGGATATGGTAGTTCTCAAGCAGTGTACAGTCTGTAATTGCAGTTATTCTAACAGTTGCAGCCTTAACAAAAAAACCTGCTTTCAAAGGTTCATGTTGTGTTTGCATCGCATTGGATTGACAGTTAACACAAGCTGCTGTTCGCCTCCTTGTAAGTACTCTGTGCTTGTTGCTAATTGCAGATGTGTCAACATAGAGCAGCAGGAAATCCTCGCACATTAACAGTCAAGAAACTCAGTGTCAACAAAACAGAATAGTTTTTTTGTGAGTGTATTCAGAGCAACAATATTCATACTTAATGTGATCAATTACATGCAGTTCATCTGTGCTCCATACAAACACACAGAGGATCTTGAACTATCAGTCCGTGCTTCATGAGTTACAGTAAAGGGAATTCATGCCTATGCATGTTCATGTCTCTGTAAGGATCTGACTATTAATAAATTGATGGTTTCAACCCGCTGTGTGTGTGTGTGGTTGTTTTTTAATGGTCATTTATATTAAAACATGAGCTGTATTTTGAGTTAGCTTGATTTGCTACTTGTTGTGATTCTTTGGTTGAATTCTGGCTTGTAATATAAAACTTTTGTCTTGGCAACAAATCCTTCGGTTAGCTGAGTCATCAGGACCAAGACCTTTTAGGGTTATTGAGCAACATCTATGGTCTGTTAGTGTAACTATCATTAAATTTTCAGTATAAAGTCACAAGTCCTGTTGGACACAATGAGGGGAAAATCTTTGCACTGTTTGCTGAGTCTGACACTTTCTTGAAAATATGACAGTTATATCTGCTTTGAGATTTTGTCAGGTAGAATATGTTTAATGTCCGTTAAGCTTTAAAATAACTCTTCAACTGTAGGGAAAAAAAGAGTGCAATGTCTTGCTATAGGGACATCCCAACCAATCAAGAGTATAATTGTTAATCATGATCTCTAATTTCTGTGATGTCTTAATTCCAAAATAAGAGCTCACTGTTATTGAAGATAACTTCAACTAAGATTAAATCCATCATCTATCTGTATTCAAAGAAATGGCAGGATTATGTGAAATAAGATCATGTTAACCTGGATTATTTAAACCCTGTTTGAAGAAACTAAATTTGACTTCATTGTTGATTATCTGACATTAACTTCAAGTTCATCTGGAGCTGTTGTCAGAGTAACAGATCCTGAGGGCCAAACTTGAAATAGTGCAGCTTAGTTGAAAGTGTGATGGATCATGACCACGTCAAGATGTTTTTAACATCATACATAAATATGTTGAGATACAAAGATTCATTTTCATGGAGGTATCAATTAAAAAATGTGGATTATGATTTTTGATGGTGTAAATTAAATTCATAGAGGCCCACAGACATGACAATAGATCTGGGGACCCTTTGAGGGGTCCCAAACCCAAAGCTGGTCACCATTGTTAATAAGCTATAGGATAAGATTAGTACACTTCAAAATAAGAGCTGTTCCAAATTTATTTCTTGATGCTGAAAGGTATGAAATGTTGCTTTATAAATATACATGAAATGGTTTTCGTTCAATTTGAGTCATAGAATACTTGAGTGTGTTGTTATCCATGATGTCTTAATAATTTCTTAAACTTTCCACTGCTTGCTCATTGTGTGAACTGTTGGGTTTCCCTCTATCAGACTGAAAGGTCATGACCTTTCCCTGTAAAGTCGCTTTAGATAATGTATTCTGTGATTTGGCACTATACAAATAAAATTTAACTGAATTGATCCTAGATCAAAATCAAACCTAACCGTTCCAAAAACCATGATATCTTAATGAGGATTAAAGGGATAATTACAGCTGGCTAACAGCACGTTAGCCTGGATTAGTTAAACCCAGGTTTATACAGTATATACTGTAGCTCACACTGAGGGCCAAGGGGTTAGTAAGTCGAGCTCAGGCATCATGTACTTCTTTTTCACCCCTGTTGTAGTGTTTAATTGCAGGTTTCGTAAATGAGCTCTCTGGAGAAGTGATTAACTGTAAGAACCACACAGAACATCCAGATGGATTTATTCCCTGTATTATTTATTGAAAACCCAGCAGTCATCATTAATACCTGTTGTGTCTGTACAGGCAGGGAAGTAAGGAAATGTGGTAAACTAAACTAGCTGTCATTCTGTTTTCAAAAATAAAAGGCAAAAGGACAAAAAGACACAAAAAAGAAACACTCCAATATGCTACAGAATGATACCCTCATGTTTTTCATTTTTCTTTTAACGCTTGTTTTTCAAAATGTTACACAGATGCAGAGAAAAAAAAAAAAAGCATTGAGGAAAAAGAAGAGTGTGTGACAGCAGTTCAGAGGGAGATAAAGAAATAAAAATTTTAATGAAAGACAGGTTTGGGTGGGTGTGTCTTTTAAAACAGTTGTGTTCATCTGTTTTCTCCTCTGCCAAGTGTTGCTTTTACTTATGTTGTGAAAAGCCAACGGGAGACAATTGTTGCCATCATCTTTCTCTCGTTCTGTCTCTTCCTCCCTCCGTCCTTCATCGTTTCTTTGGAGGTTGGGCTGTGCGGGGAGGAGTGACGGGCCGACCAGAGTTCATTCCTCCATACTGGTACTTGGCTTTCTTCTCAGATGGCTTCAGGATCTAAGAACAGACATGGAAGCATTTGTTTTTAAATTACAGAACAACAAAATTATCTGTGTATGTAATACAATGTCTCACAGCCTCTATCTTGACTATTTCCATTTTTCCTTATACTTCAATTCCTAACGGAGAGATGTCTGTTTTACTTCTTTTATAATTTATTATATTATTATGTATGTTACTGTATTATTTTATCCTCTCAGTCTGACTTCTTTGTGATTTCGATGGGGATAGGATTTACATGCACCATTATGTCCCTGCTCAGACCTGGTGTTAACATCCGTCTCAGGTGATTCAATCACAAGTGAACAGCTCTAAATTCAGGTGTGAACGCACCCAAGATGCAATGAGGACGCATCTAGACCACAATCGGAGGCGGTCTGGACCACATGTTATTTCAAGGCTTACAGAAACTTTGTTTGTTTTTATCTTTCCAGGTGGGACTTCTACTGCTTTACTGTGAGGAGTTCATGGTCCTTTGTGTGTTTCGTACAGGTGCTGGGTGTCAGCACTTTCTCGTACCTGGAAGGAGCACATCAGGGTTTCATCCACGCTCATCATGCCGCCTGCATTGTCGAACTCTCCACAGTAGTTTGGAGCCGAGAACAGAGTCACCAGCTGCCGCTTGGCAAAGAACTCGTAACCATCTTCTACCACCTGGGGGCGTCAGACACACAGGGACGTTACTCAGTGCAGAACTGCTACACAGTATTTACATATACAGAGCATTCAGAAAGTCTTCAGACCCCTTCAGTGTTTTCACAGTCTGTTATGTTGCAGCCACATGCTGAAATCAAAATAATTCATTTCCCCCCTCATGAGTCTAATCTTAATACCCCGTAATGACATAGTGAAAACTGAATTTACAAATTTATTAAAAAGGAAAAACTGAAATATCACACTGACATAAATATTCAGACTCTTTACTATGACATTTGAATATTAGCTCAGGTTCCTCCGTTTCTCTTGATCGTCTCTGAGACGTTTCTACACCTTGATCGGAGTTCACCTGTGGTAACTTCAGCTGATTGGACATGATGTGGAAAGACTCACACCCGTCTATATCAGGTCTCACAGCTGACAGTGCAGATCAGAGCAGAAACCATGGGGAGGAAGGAGCTGCTGCAGAGCCACACAATACCACGTGATACTCAGAAGTGGTTTTCCTTCCGGAAGTTTCTCCATCTCCTCACAGGATCTCTGGAGCTCAGCCAGAGGGACCATCAGGTTCTTGGTCAGCTCTTGTACCAACTACAGGTGGACTCCAGTCAAGGTGTAGAAACATCTCAACGACGATCAAGAGAAATGGAGGAACCTGAGCTAATATTCAAATGTCAGAGTAAAGGGTCTGAAGACTTTTGTCAATGTTATATTTTAATTTTTCCTTTTAATAAATTTGCAAAAATGTCCAAATTTCTGTTTTCACTTTGTCATCATGGAGTATTAAGTGTAGACTCATGAGGGGAAAAAGGATTTATTTTGATTCTGGCATACAGCAGCAACAAAACAACATGTACATCATCATCTGATGGAGGTTTTTCAGCAGTGACGTACTTCATACAAATAAGTCAACTTTACACACATTGTGAAAACACAACTAGACAGATGTTTCTAGGAAGCCTGATACATCAGTGCAGCTGTTGTTATGGTGAAGGGAGGTAGTTTTCTGTGTATTTAAATGGCTGAGTAATGAGAGGGTGTGTGTTTGTGTGTAGTACCTGGTGGGCTCTGCAGATGAGGTCCAGGTCGTGGCGGTTCAGGAACTTGCTGACCACATCAGCTCCAAAGGTGAAGGAGACGCCACGGTCGTTCTCTCCCCAGCCCTGGACGTCCTTATCTGGGTCAGACCACAGCAGATCACACAGGAGGCCTGGAGGGGGGAAAAAACAGTATTTTTACTTCATCTTTACTTCATCTAGTTACCCAGTTAATGCTGTTCAGAGAGGAGTTAACTAACATACACACACACAAGTTTGTTTCTATATACTCATGGGGACAACTCACTGACATAATGTATTCCCTTGCCCCTTAACTTAACCATCACAACTAAATGCCTAACCCCTAACCTGGCCCTAAAACCAAGTCTTAACCCTCAAAAAAGCAGTCTGGACCCGTGATGGTGAGTCTCCACGGGTTAAGTGTGTATTCAGCTTTTTAGTCCCCACTGGGATATAAAAACAAGCACACACTCACTCACTCACTCACTCACACACACACACACGGGAGTCTCCCTGAAGGACCATAAGAGGATCTGAGAGACAGTGGCTGCCAGGGTCTGAACACTTGCTGCCTTATAAGGACAAAAACAACCAGGTTTAATGAGGAGGGCAAACACTCAATGACTGAGAGGAGCTTCACCTCCACTGGTTTTACTGGGACTTACAGACAACTATGTATTTCTTTTGGTGGTGGTGGGGGGGCAATTAAAAAAAAAAAAAAAGTTGTATCATTATATTATTTTATGATTAATACCAATTAAATGAACGGACCTCAAAGTGCAAATATTTATGAGGAGACACTTCCTGTGTCTTGGAGCTGGACGTGGTGTTAGGACCATAGAACATAAATCACCACAGACATATTCTTCATTAGCTGAGTTCACAAGGACTGGAACCAGGACCTGTACTTATCAGGCATCTCAGAATCACTGCAAGGAAACTGAAAGGAAAACTAGGTCCGGGTAGGATGAATTAATCTGAACATGTTTCTGGAGGACCTGTATGTTTGATTTATTACTGCAGAAACTTTTGGTTGTTACAAGCCAAAATCATCATTGGTTGCAAAGCTGTATTTTCCCTGTCGCTGTGAGGTTGTTGACTTTATAATGAAAAGCATAAGTGTGTCTTATGCATCCTACACAAGGTCAGTCAAAAATGATTAGACTTTTTGCCAAAATGCATCTTTTAATAAAGTCACAGTCATCAATAAACATCTCTTCTTCCACAGAGTGTGTGTGCATATCGATGCGTAAACACAATCTCCTCTCTCTCCTGAATATCAGCAGAGACACGAGTCATTTCAAGCTGAGAAAGCTGATGAAGTGTTTTTACTCCTAGGGCCGATTTCCTGCTCTGACAAGCTCAAATAAATATATGGCCAGATTTGTATTTTTACCCCTATGTAATGAAAATCAACAACCTGGCAGGACACGGTGCTACAACTGTGGATGTACTTTCTATTAAAATGGGAATGTCTGCCCTTTATATGTCAATTCAGAGTCATAGCTCATATTTATTTGTTTTAATCTCTGTCCCACATTATACACAGTGCACATTTAGAGGCTACAATAGAGGCTCTTGGAGAGGTTGGCTCTCTCTTCATCTACACCATGAATAAACTCCTCGAGTTCTAGTAGAGCACTCAGCTCAGAGCAGCTCTTCAGAGGAGAGTTTCACCTGAAAAATATTGCTGAAATAGATGCAAAATGACATTTAAAAAAACAAAAAACAAAAAACAAACCAAAAGTGAGTCTGTGCACAAGGTTCACAGCCATGCTGAAACTCTCAGCTGCTGTGTGTTTGTTTTATGTGCTCCTTGGGTAACTATCGATGCAGCGGAGCATGATACGGACGATTTCTGCAGCTGGCAGATCCAGAGAAAAACAGAAGGTCGGGGCTTTAAATATACAACAAACAATCCATCAAAAAACTGTCCGGATCAGGCCTGATCTGGATCCTATGTGTGAGATCAAGACAATCCTCTGGTTCACTTGTACATCAGTAATATCATCTGGAGCTGAAACAATTAGTTGATCAATTGATTAATTCACCAACAGAAACTTAAAATCGATTAGTTGTTTTATCATTTATAAAGCAAAAATGGGAAATATTCTTGTGATGATTTGATGCTTTTCTTTGGCACATGTGATGGTAAACTCAATGTCTTTGGATGTTCGACTTTTACTTGGACAAAACAATTGATCTGAGGACGTCATCTTTATCAGAAGGTGATGGCATTTTTTCCCCGTTATTTGTGGTCATTTTCAGCTCATTTGAACTATTTAGTAAAAATGTTGAGTAATTTAATCTATAAGAATGCACCACATTTCATAAGTTGATCATAAAGTGAGTTTCTATGTAAAATCTGAGTCTGAAAACTGACTGGTAAATGTATGGGCTTAGGGGTATAACAACCTTAAATGCAAGTGAACTACAAGTACAGGATCTCAGAATTGTATGATACCAAAGTAAATGTGCTAAATTACTTTTCACCGACTTAAGTGCAGCTGTGATGAAAACTCATTGTTCCTTACAGACGTACAACGAAATGAAAAACACCTGGCCTGCTGTGTGCATGTGTGTGTGCTGACCTACCTGTGTCAGGCACATCTGTGGGTCTCATGATGCGTCTGATCTGCTCCATAGACTGTAGGTCAGGAGAGAGACCTGTGGGCAACACAACAACACGGTTACACAAACACCAGTGCAGGTATTAACCCATATCCATCTATAAACTATCTCTGACCCATTTACTCCACATCAGATTAGCAAACAAAAACACTGATGGGAACTTTATGTTTCATACTCCAGCTCACATGTAGTGTAAACAATGACAGCAGAGCACGGCATGAAGTTTTGACGGACGGATGGATAGTGATGGATCAGGGCAAACGAAGAGTGAAAGCGCAAACATCAAGGACTTCAGTTCGAGAAACGTTAACACGAACACAGATGTGAATTTCTGAATTATATCCACCCAGACACATAATAATCTTTATTTACAGAGCACTTTTCTAAACCCACGTTACAAAGTGCTTCTCATAGAGTAGCTAATTACACAAACAAACAAGTCATACGAAACACAAGTGAAGTACAAATCATGAAAATAAAAATAAAAAATCGTGTCACCAGCTAAAGGGCAATCCAAAAAACAAACCAAAAAAAAAAACAAAAAAATCCATTAAAATCCATTAGGATCAAGTAAAATTAAGAAAATCACGAAAAAAGCTCCTTGATAAAAGTAGAATCAAGATTTGGAGCCAGTGGAAGAGGCTAAAACCGGAATAATATGGTCACTTCTCTTGGATTTTCTTAAAAATCTGACAGCTGAGTTCTGTACAGTCTATTAATAGATCTTTATTGCATTGCTTTTGCAATGGTGGAGGCATGAGGAGATGACAACATGTAAAATGGCCTCTGTTTCTTCGAAAGATGGAATAGATTGTATTTTGGAAATATGGTTTGTTGTTAGTGTGGATCCAGATCCAGTAGCATCAGTATGTGGTCATGTTTTAGCTTTTGTATAATGTGTAATGATCAGTAGCGTTTCAACATGAATACCTCCGTGACAGCAGAAGATCTTCTCGTCCACTATGGCAGCGATGGGCAGGCAGTTGAAGCAGTCGGTGAACGTCTTCCACAGCTTGATGTTGAATCTGCGTTTACCTGTAAAATCAACAAGACAGTGAGTCAGGAGGCCTCAAGGCAAAGAACCATACAAGGCGTTCAAAGTGTTTTTACAAGTTCAGTCCTGAGATACAGGGATCTAAGACAGATCTGGATTAAAGCGTGCAGTCCTCTTTCACCATGTTCAAAGTTACCAAGTGACCAAACCACTGGTTTCAGTGAATTCACCATTTACCTGATTAATTATATACCCGTTACTACTTTTAAATGACCACCTTTTAAGATGGCATATCATAAAAAGGTGCGCCTTACCAGAAAGGACCTTGTGTAAATTATTACATAGCAAAACAAAATGTTTGATTTTTATATTTTGAAGTTTATAATTTGCCTGGAAAGTTGTGTGTCAAGCACAGAGATTTTACAGTACTTGTGTCTTAGTATATCAATTTTTTTTTGCAAATTTATAAAACTCAACCACATTCATCAGACAACTGGAGTTACCAGTTAGTTTTTAGATGATGATTTTACATTAAAAACATGATGAGCTTATAAACTGAAACTCATTGTTAAGGATCAAACCGGCGGTTTCCAACCTTTCTGACTTGTGACCCTGTACAAAAAAAGATAAACTGTGTGCAGTTGGGGCCCCTAAGAGCCATTTCCCATCTAAACGTCTCTTTCATTCAAAGTTTGTGGCATTAAGAGGTCAAATTATCCAATGTTTCTCAAAAAAAAGCTCAAAATGATTGAAGGGAAAGGAAAAGTTAAACAGAATAACAACTGTTTTTACTTCTTCAATTCAGGTTTATCTTGTGACTCTTCGGAGGGGCCCGGCGCCGCCCGACCCCTAAGTTGATAACCACAAGATGTAACTACCAAACTAAAACTACCTCCACTATAACCAGTTAAAACAATAAAGTGTTGCTGAAACATTAATGCATTAATAATCTAATAATGTTAATATGATGATGTATCAGTTAAAGGGGCCACTTCTCTGCAGAGAAAGTACTTTCAACTTTTTCAAACTTTTATTCCAGTGAGATTTTGAATGCTGAATATATTTGATGAATAATAACAGTAGATTTACATTGTGTTGTTGGTGGTGGTGGAGTGTTTCCACCACTGGCTGCAATATCTTTGAAATTTAGGCTACGTCCACACGACTGTGTCCAGACTAGAGTTTTAGCTCTGTATCAGAAACGATCCATACCATCACACCTAATAATGCATACATCCATTCACGTACACTGGGCATGTGCGTGCCGGTGTGAACAGGAAGGAGGTTGTCTACTCTGCAGTTGGTTAGTTGCAAAAAATACTATGAATGAGGAACAGCGGGGATGGCTGTAGCATTACAATACAGAATTGAACTGCACAGCAGCTGCTAGGAAAGACAACAAGGTCAGTAAAGCTTGCATTTTAGGTTATCCATGTTTCATGCACCACTGGTAGTCGAGGCTGATAAGAACCAATCAGGGAATGACCGCGAGTGTCAACATCATCATTTGCAGAAGTCTCCGTTTTAAGGGCTCCAAAACTCAGAGAATAGTGCAGACAACAGGTGAAAACATAACAAGAGTGATGCATTTTAAAATTAAATCTAGCAGTGTGGATGAAGCCTTGAAGAGAGCTTGATTCAAGGTGAGACTAACTTTTTACATTTTCTTTTTTAGCTTTAAGGGAAGCTATGACATGCAACACTTTGTTCAGACTTTTAGACCCCACTGTATGTAGGCGGAACAGCACAATTTTCTCCATTCATTGTCTTGCTTTACTCTCTGGTCATTTGCTTATTATCCAAAAACAAAACTACTTTGTTACTGTTTTGCATTAGGGTCCTTATTTCAAGGTTAAAGGTGACTTGTTATTATCTGAAATTGAAACTACAATGCTAATTTTGATATTTATTGTCATATAATTTAAGCCTCACAATGACAATCACTTTTAACAGATAAAAAGTAACACTTCATCCTATTTGTTTTCCATTTTACCCTCTACAAAAAGAGTGTACTTATCTACATAAATGTCTAGAGGAACTAGCTGTACCACCACAGTGAAACCTGAGGGGAACTGAAAATGAAAACACACTCTACTTCTGTGTCACGATATGAGAACTGAGCACTCACACTCGTCATAGAAGCCATAGATGCGGTTGATGGAGGCACACTCGTGGTTGCCCCTGAGCAGGAAGAAGTTCTCGGGGTATTTGATCTTGTACGCCAACAGCAGACAGATGGTCTCCAGAGACTGCTTCCCTCTGTCCACGTAGTCGCCCAGGAACAGGTAGTTGGCCTCTGGGGGGAAGCCGCCATACTCAAAGAGCCTCAGCAAGTCTGTGTATTGTCCGTGGATGTCACCTGGGGCGGAAGATAGAGAGGAGGGCAGAGATGGATGAGCAGGACATAATAACAAGACAGACTACATAGTACAACTTAAGAGGAACAAGGTGAGATGGGAGGCTACTGACCACAGATTTTGAGTGGAGCCTCCAGCTCCAGGAGGATTGGCTGACTGAGGAAGATCTCCCGGGACTTGATGCAGAGGCCGCGCACCTCAGCCTCCGTCATCTGGACAATCTTCCCTGGACGACATCCTCGCACTGGTGGAGGGAAAGGAGAGGTGGAATAAGTTTAAAGAACAGTGTGTTTTTTGGAAGTCCAGGGGTGTCGCTAACAAAGCTACCCACTCCAGTTGGAGCGTTCTCATCTCTATCATTTTCCCAGATTTTTTTCTCGAGGCTATGGCTCCTTTGGTCGTCACATCCCCGTACACATCACCTCCCACAGGGTGAGCTTTTAAATTAACTTCAAACTAAATATGGAGGGGTCAGTAAACAGAGGATGGAAATAGCCTGTGTGAGCATTGTTGATGTTGCTGGGAGTGTTTTTGGAGACGCTTCCTGTTATGTAAGAGAGGAAAAGAGAAGGGGGGTGGGGTCCCACTGTCAACACTTGACTAGAAGGTCTTGGACTCCATGTCAATGACTATTAAATATGTAAGTCTGGTAATGAAGTCAGCAGGTCAATTACAGATGCTTAATAAAACTTAATGAACGAGGTCACTTGCAAAACGTATCCTTAAAAGGGTCAATGGTGGCAAGTGGCATAGCTTAAAGGTGACTATTACACTGTTCAAATTACCGTGTGACACTTTATGTGTAAATTTTAATACGCACACAGCAAAGGTGCAAACAAATGTGAGCTTCGATCCTGCATCATGGTGGTTTATAAAGTTAGTCGCAGGTTCAATCCATAAATGTGGCCATACGACAGAAGTATACACGATAATATTACCCTAATCTTTTCAGATGGCTTTTTCAAATGTAATATTTAATCTATCTGAGATTTTGACTGTTAGCTAAGATTTTACAATTTCTGCACCAATACCACAATGATTCTTTCATTAAGGTTTGTTTTTCTACATAACTCTTTACACTTGTTCACAAAATAAGCAAAACCTGAGCACACCAGTGTTTGGATGCCGCACAACAACTTTACCCAAAATGAATCAATTAACAAAAAAACAACAGACAAAGAAAATGAAAACACAACTGTGACTAGACATTCAATGTCAACAAGGGACAAAATGCATTCAGCATCCAAAAAGTATTAAATTACTTTTCAAATCAGCAATACTACGGCAAAACCCAGTATATGTCTGGGCTGCATGTGGTCAGTGCGATTGAGGATGTAGTCGAGAACTGTTGTGCAACCGCTGTAAACAACTGACATCATCGTGTCATATTTGCATTCAGCTTAGTATCAGCTGGTTTCAGCTCTTTATCTGTTCTCATCTCTCCTCCTCTCTGTGCTCACATATACAGCATTTTAATACAGCTGAACTCACAGTAAAGCTGTTCTCAGTTACATGGTTTTCTGCTGCTGTTGAAGACAAGGGAACAAGCTTGGAATAATGACTGAAGCACAGAACGTTAAGACTACATGTTAACCTCTTCTCAAGCTGCTAATCTGTGGCTATAATCTTGATTTTATAACCACGTCATCTGACAACATTAAATACATAAAGACAACGGCTGAGCTGTGATTTCAGCTGTATTTACTGTAAAATGTTCACTCACTGAGAAAGTTAGAAGAGACAGAACATCTTTATTATTTTGTTTCTCACACAGAGCACAGCCTCCACCTCTCTGCCACGCTGGCTCACAGGTCTAAGTAGCTAAGAGTTGTCCAAAAAGGTGCTATCTTGTCACTAAGTGCTGTTTGTTTCAATTCAGTAACAGCCAATGGGGAAACTCAGGCAGCTGACCAGTGGTGTCACTTGATCATGCAACTCTATCACTCAGTCAGTCAAGGACATTGGCATTTATAGAGCTGCCCCCACTGTTGCCAAAAAACATTACCTGGATTCAGTGTCCTATATGTGGGAGGTTTGCCTCCTTTATTTGTTATATAACATTATACTGTATATGTGTGTATTGGGATGTTGATGGGGCGAAACAAGACATTTTAAGACATCACTTTGAGCTAAATGAAATTCTAACAGCATGTTTCCCTATTTTCTGACACTAATGAGTATACAATTAATTATGCGAGAAAATGATATGCAGATTAACTGATAATGAGAATAATCGTTAACTATATAAAGAAGCCAGAAACAACCTCACACACCATCCTGATAATATACTGAAGAACAGCTGCGCAACGTGTTTTATTTTGATAGAACAGTTTTCCATGAGCTGGCCACACTGTATACAGTTCTCTGTCAGCATTGCTATGTGAAAGTAACTGAGAGCAATGATGTTATATCTTAGTATACATTAGCAGATACAGGATGACTTATATGTGCGCTAAAAGTAACCCAGCACATCATCGCAAGCTCCATTTGAGTAGAAAGCATGTGTCAGACTGTCTAACTTTCAAAATAAAAGGCTCTGTGTTATTTATGAATAATATTCCTGCAGATAAATGGCCTCTGGAAATCTCTACATTTCCTAACATTGCTTTGAAAGCTCACACACAAGTATGGCTACTGTAAAGCTGACACATAAAAACCAGCATCGACGACAACCACATGTAGCTACCTTTGCAATTTCAACTTTCCCTGCAGTATCTCCATGTTTTGCCACTGCCCTACATATTCTCCCTGTGCTCAGAAGAATGGCAGCATCACAGACACCTCCTCTTTTCCCCCTGCCTGGTAAACCACAGAAGTGGGCCAGAGCTGACTAAGAGCTGCTGCTGTCAGATGACACCACAGCAACATGATGGAAATCCAAGCAGGCGTCAAACGCCACTTAATAGGTAAATCAAACAGACGTGGTCAGAGGAGCCCAACAGCTCGGTAGGCAGAGGAGTTTGTTTTTAAAAGGAGAAGAAAAAAAAGCATGTAAAAGTCTTTCTCCTCTACAATGAGAGGAGGTATGCATGTCAGATTCCTGCAGGTGACTCCCGCTCTGAAGGTATTTTACATACACAGTTTTAAAGGACAACAGTGTGTGCAGCACATAGAGGATGCATCAGTGTGTGTGAGTGTGTGTGCACGCGCGCAACGTGACCCTGCTATTTCTGCCTGAAGACCTTAGGCAATAAACACTCCACCACAGCCAAACACAACCTCCGACCGCACACGCCCCACCTGAGGCGTAAGACCGAGGCTATATTTAGACTGTTCCAAAAGGTAGAATTTCACAGGTGAACATAAACACACCACGAGCCAAATCATGTGGAGAATTTGTGACATTTTAATGCTGCAAAACTGACGGGGGCATGACGCCCTTAAAAATCCTCCCATAACATGTTGTATTATTGGTATTTATGCACAACATATCCTTCAGTGAGCACAATACACAAGCAAGGAGCGCCGCTGTGATGCCAGCTGAGTGATGACGCGTTTGCAGATCTGTGCTAGCTCAGCTGACAGGGAGGGAGGCCTGATACACACAGCACCACTAGTGTCACTTGCCTGGGAGGATCCCCTTTTATCATATGGTTAAGGCAGAGCCGGGAGAAAACACACACACACACACACACACACACACACAGACACACACACACACACACACACACACACAGACACACACACACACACACACACACACACAGACACACACACACACACACACACACACACAGACACACACACACACACACACACACACACAGACACACACACACACACACACACACACACAGACACACACACACACACACACACACACACAGACACACACACACACACACACACACACACAGACACACACACACACACACACACACACACAGACACACACACACACACACACACACACACAGACACACACACACACACACACACACACACAGACACACACACACACACACACACACACACAGACACACACACACACACACACACACACACAGACACACACACACACACACACACACACACAGACACACACACACACACACACACACACACAGACACACACACACACACACACACACACACAGACACACACACACACACACACACACACACAGACACACACACACACACACACACACACACAGACACACACACACACACACACACACACACAGACACACACACACACACACACACACACACAGACACACACACACACACACACACACACACAGACACACACACACACACACACACACACACAGACACACACACACACACACACACACACACAGACACACACACACACACACACACACACACAGACACACACACACACACACACACACACACAGACACACACACACACACACACACACACACAGACACACACACACACACACACACACACACACGCACACACACAGTGATCCAATGACCTTGACTCGCATCATTACGCACTTGTGTGTGGAGGTATCCCAGCATCCTTTACTGTCACCCCTGCACTGCAGCTTCCCCAGTGAGGAGAAAGAGAGGGAGCGAGAGATACTGAGAAATAATGAGAGAGAGGGAGAGCGCAGGAGGTGGTACCCACATCTGATCACCATGGCAACCCAGCAAGACCAATTTCCATCCTGCAAGGTGTTGGTGAGCGGAGCTGCTGCTGTATCTCGAGGGGGGAAAGGAGCTGATTTGCAGATGTATCTCTGCCAACCCACGCACTGCATACTAACATGTAGCGCAACTGACAGCAGTGAAGGAAACCCGATGAGACCCACACACTGTATCTGTACCACCACACTGGCACAATCCCACTTAAAAATTAAACTTCCCAACATCAATACTTCTAAATCATACAACCTGATTTTGTTAAAACGCCCTAAAAGCTTCCAAATCCCCCAAAACAAACAGCTAAGAAGTTTGAAGATTTGGAGGTGCCTTTTAAAAAGACAAACAAAAAAAAAGACAGACAGAAACTATTGTATATAATACATTTAAACTGTAAATGTTACTATTAAGTATCAGTTTCAGTAGATAATGATACATACTGATCATTTTGTCTTTCATCACACTGACTCAAATAGAAATGGCCTGTCCAGCCTGCTGCTCCACACACTCAGCAGTGACAGCAACAGGTAGCAATTTGCCTGCCAGCTAAATGTTTCAGCTGTGACGACGATTACAACAAAACAGCTGTGTAGCATCGTCTGTGGCTCTGAAGGAGCTTTGTCA